AAAGTAGGAGAATACACATAGCTTGAGTTTCCCAGTTTTGATTCCTAGTTGTCGACATGTCAAGTATTATTGTTCATCATTCCCAAATGCTCATGTGAATATTTCTCCTCTTTTAAACAGGGTTATTTCCGTATATACCGGGGAGATGGTACCTGTGGAATCAATACCCTAGTTTCCACCTCGATCATCCTGTGATACGCATCTGATTTTGATTTTACACAATGATAAACGAGCTGAGGACCGTCTTACTTTTGAGAGTGTAGGCTTAAATTCGTCTTACGAACAAAGATAAAAGGTTTGTCACTTGGCATCGCGCTGGTCGAACAAACGCATCCATACTGTAAAGAGGTTAGACAACTTCAGCAGCAGATATTTTGTCACTATCTCGATTGTTTGGCAGACGAACCCTGTTTTTTCCCAAAAGGCCGTCATTTGTTTTGTCGGGGTGCATGCAGTATTCTCCTTAGTACCGTCTTACAATTTGACTGATTTGAACTTTGTCAAGTTCCATGGACTGTGCTCTGAGGGAAGACAGAATTGCCCACATCGAGCTTCTAACTGGTTTCCCCCATTTGAGGATCTCGAAAAGCTTCAGATTCCAGGCCAGTTTAGCACTTTAAAGCAGCAAAAGGCAAATAAAAATGTGGGAAAATGAAATTTTGAGCGAACATCAAACGGATAAATGTGGTTTTCGTAGTAGTACTGTAAGAAAGTTGGGAATTGAGTTCACTAGCGCTGGTGTCGTTATGGACTGACCGAAATGGGGAAGGTGATTCTGCTGTGCGTGATGGGCTGTTTAGGGCGGTTATCAGTACATAAAATAATGACCTAAGGCAAAGATTTGAACTTGACGAAGCAACGGAAAATAAAATAGAACATCAAGAACATTAATCTGCCGTGAGTTATGGTTTGTCGGGCTATGTTCCAAAAACAGCAGGCTTCCTGCTTAGGTCAATTACAAAGTACACAAAATCGCGGAGTAATTATTTGGCATTTTTTATCGTTCGAACACAAATCCGTGTGATAGTAATGTAGCTGCACACGTGATTAGTCTCTCAAGTTGTTCTAACCTCTGGCAACAGAAGTGTTGAAAATAGACATGAAATCCAGAAAGACTGATGCACCGCTAAAACACCGTCCACAGTGGGCAAGCTGAGCGAATTTCTGGTCATGGTCGTGTATTGGCCAGTATTCAGAGACTGGTGGTTTTATGCTAACCTGGATGCCAATTGAAATCAAAATTGCTTAGTAACACGCGTAGTGTGTTTAGAAACATCTCATTGTTCTCCATAAGGCACACAGTCTTGTGATAGTGTAGGGAGATTAGGTAATATTCATTTATCATTTGGTCCTGTCGCTCTAGACTGAACAGCATACAGGAGCACTGCACAGGCGAGCGTTTATTATTTAGAATTAACAGTGCGCATATTGCAAAACTCCAGGGAGTTTCAGATCCGCCTAATCTTTGGAAGACCTAAGCTTTTGGCCTCGTGTGGCTGTCCAGCTTTGTGATAAACTCTCACCTACATTAAAAACTTAATCCGTTGCTACATTGTTTTGGGTACAAACAAGTTCAAACCAAGAATCTCACAACCAGTTCAGAGCTAGTAGGCTTTTTCTAAAGCATGCTAACGGGTCTTGAAGCTCTCCGTTAAGTGCTATGCACAATTGGTTGTCCTCAGTTGTACTTTCAGATTGCAGCTTAAATCAGTCGAGCTAGGGTGGAAAAAATTACCCTTCTTTTGTTGTTAGCTTGAGATTGTGCCATCTTTAAACTATCTGGGATTATTCAAGGATTTAATCAAAACATCTATGAAAAAATACTGGGCACGTTTTGTTTCTGAAGACGGCCAATACGGGATGAACAGGTTTTCGACACGGACTTCTCCATCTGACCAGCATCAGGCAAATAAGCGAGACCTTGTCCTTCAAAATTTACCTGCAGTTTGATGACATCAAACTGCATGCCATTTTATCATCCATGGCCCTATGGCCTTTAAAATTTCGCCTATATTTGCAATCCTTTATGGAAAAGATAGACTTAGATATTTTTGGAAATTCTGCATACGTTTCATAATAATACCGATAATGCGATTTAATTTTGGTTCAATGAGATGGTCGGTCAGCGGCGCCTAATTCTGTGGCCAACCTTTAATAGATACCCGGGCACTTTATTCCCAAATGATGGGCTGAACGGTAAACGTAGCTCTAAGAATTTCGAGATCAGAGCAGGCCGTCCTCAGCTCGAATCGGATACCAGATAAAACAGAGGTGTTGTAATTTTGGTTCAATGAGATGGTCGGTCAGCGGCGCCGAATTCTGTGGCCAACCTTTAATAGATACCCGGGCACTTTATTCCCAAATGATGGGCTGAACGGTAAACGTAGCTCTAAGAATTTCGAGATCAGAGCAGGCCGTCCTCAGCTCGAATCGGATACCAAATAAAACAGAGGTGTTGCCAGAACTCTAAATAAAACAATACAGATGTCCATTCGGTTTTTGCTTACTGGCCGTCAATCAAACAACTTTCCTCACTTGGCGGTCTATGCAGGAAATAAAAAGGAGACGTGGTTTCCACGTTTTTCGTGTCCACGATGCGAATTCTACTAAAAAAGTTCACGGAAAAACAAGGCGAAATTCTATTGATGCTGTCATAAAAACTACCCTTTCTACTAGGAGCTGGAAATTAAATAATTAAACAAATAAATAAATAAGTAAAAATATAGAAGCTTAATCACACAAGCAACTTCCTTTTTGCGTTGAGACCGCAATTCCAAAAGTGTTTTAAAAGTTATCCGATTTATAAAGCCGCGTACGATAGTGAAAATTAGCAAACAAACATCTCTACAGCGGTTCGAGGGGAAATTTGTTAAGCGTTTTCATACGAGCCATCCACGCACACGTAGTAAATACGATGTTGATGTAAAGAGGAAAGTCCTCCGCCGCAAAGTCGTTTATTAGCGGACACCAACTAAACATTTACAAACTATTGGACAGGGAAATAAACGTCTCATATGAAACTTATATTAAAAAATGAGCATCTTCACGCGTGTTTTTGGACTTTCACTGACTTTCAGGCAATTGCACCCATGGGGGTGCACCCTCCAGTAGACGCGAGGCGAAGTTACTCATCAGTGGTATCCGCCGTTATATTGGTAATTACTGGGTTGGAAGTTGGTTGGTGTGAATTAATGAAACGAATTAATTCTCATCTTCAAAGATATTTTCACAGCAAATGTTTCCATTTTTCGGGCTAATATTTGCTTACGTCTGGCCAACCTCCTTGTTTACGGAGCCAAAGAAATGTTTCAAGCAAAAAAAGTTATGGTTTCTCAAAGCGTTCGCAAGGCAGATAACGTTTCAGACACTCGACATCGGTTTACAGGCAGATGATAGTGACTGGCACAAGTACTTCCATTCTGTTCTGTTTTGCAGCCTGGAGAAGAGACGACATTCTGAATGGACATCACTTCGAAACTGAATGCAGATATTCATTCTGGAGCGAAAGGTGCGCATTGCCGCACCGTATCCGCGTTCGCTGCGTGAAAACGGTTCACTGACCACGGTGTAATTGAATGTCGAAATTCTGTATGCTCGAACGAATTTACGCAAATCTTTGAAAATAAATGTCTGCTTTGATCGGGTAGAATGTCATTCAAACCATTTGTTTGACAGCTGCGTTTGAAGACAATAGGCCTAGCTGCTTGAGTGTTTTTTTTACTTAAAATTGCCTTGGAAACTGATGACCTCCTCATGATATTATGCATTTTTCTATATAAACTGGATTAGGGTGGAAAAAGGAAGCGGAGTTTCAGAAGTGATTCTGTGCTGATCTTACCAATTCAAAGCAAAGCAAGCCACAAATTCCACTTTTTATGCAATTTGGATTTGTAGCATCAAATCGTCGCTACATCGGCAAATGGGCGGTTGTTTTTCTGATATTTTCCGATTTTTCATAACTACTCCAAATTAGCGGTCTGCGAGCGGTTTCGTTAGACGGGACTCCAGTGCTGTTAAGTGGTAAGTTCCTTGCTAGGAAACCATTATGCATAACCACCTTTTCGTTTTATGACGCACATAGGAGGATGTAAAGAAACCTTCGTTTCTGTGAACATTCATCGTGTTTTGCTGAGTACTACCAAGGGTTCCGCCTAATTCCCCTTATGTACATATTGTGTTGCCCTGCTTGGAGAATAGCAGTAAGGCGGTCGATTTTTTAATGTGCTAACCATTGGTACGATCTTGTCAGTGTTTCAATAAGCGTTTTCCCTGGGAAATGTTTTGAGACACCTCGGACATTCCCTGAGCCTTGTGTAGAGAGATGATTTTAAAATCTTTATCCGGTCGGATCAAGAGGTCATCACAGACTCACAGACTTTCAGAGCTTTCTTGTTTAGATAAGAAAAAAGTTTAGACTGCACTGAAAAAAAACATTGTTTGGGAGTTTTCATCTGAATTCATTCGTGAGCATTACTTGACATGAGAAAGGATTGAATAGTTTGACCGCTCGGTTAACGCAAACCCATGACTGAGAGGTCGAGTCTTCTATCTTCCATTGTTATTCGGTTCGAACTTTTGTAAGCGTCCTCATCCTTTGTGTGTTTTGCGACTCGGTATATAGCGAAGCCTTTATTTAAGGCAATTTAAGCCCATCAGAGCTCAAGTGAGTTGTTCAGCGCCTTACTAATGGTACAGGGCCATCGGTAGTCCTTCCTCGAATCACCACAAAAACAGAATAAGTGAGTGAGTTTAAGTCACTGAAACGCTAAAACAGACATAAGAAATGGTTGGAGTTATTTTGGCTAACAAATGATACCTCCGCAAGAGATTGTCCAAGATATAGATGGGTGTCTGTATTTATCTTTTTCAATCCCTTTCTAACCTCTAATCTTGTAGTCTATTGATAAATCTCCTACCTAATTAAATGTTCTCAAACAATGATCGTAAACTCGAAGTTGTGAATTCAGATGAGGTTAGTTTTCCGGCATCTGGTTTTAAGAGACTGACTGTGATAATTCGGCTTGAGTAAACTTAATTCACAGTGGGCAGTAACGTTCAACTGAGTTTTTTGTGCAAGCCTTCGATCTATATAACTTTGCCATGCGTCTAATTCAGCAAGGTGATATCATTTATTTTAAAGTTACAAGTGCGACGACAGTACCTCCAGTGTTCACAACAAAATACTTTTATAT